ACTCTGTCCCTCTGTGATGTAGAGCTCAGTGTAGATCCTGTTCAAGGGGGTTCTACTTCCTGTTTCATCTCTTCCTTCGGTCACACGTTCACATCTGCTCTTCAGGCTGATTTGATGTTCATGTAAAACCTCCTGCAGACCGGCATCTGAGGAAGCATGTGACAGAGCAGATCCAAGATTCAAGATTAAAGATTCAAGTAGTTTAATTGTCAATGCATCATTTGTGCAAAACATATAGATTATTGAAATTGTGTTACTCTCCTTCCCAGTTACAACAACAAACAAGTAATCAGCTGAAATTGCACAATCCAATAACAGTGTTAATAAACAAAAAAGCGACAGTAAATGTGTAATACAACATGGACACATATAAGGTTTAATGTGTGACATCAACACAAAAATAACAGGAAATGGAGGGATACTCATTAAAGTGAAAACAGAGATCTTTTCACAAGAAAAAGATGAATATTGCAACTATAGTGGAATAGAAGCTTAATGCTGATAAAAGCAAAGTGAAGGATGCATATGAGTGTAAAAGTGATGTGTGCATAATATTCTCACAGATGAGGGGTGGGGGTGTGGGAGGGTATGGAGGTAGTACGTTATGTACAAAACTCACGCACTTGCAAAATGTCTAGTACCGTATCAAACGGAGCAGGGTTAGTGTGCTCGAGCACAGTGTGCTGCGGGCAGGATGGGGAGGGGGTGGGGAGTGAGTTGAGCATGATGTGAATGCTGCACCAGAAACTTCAACATTTTTATTGCAGCTTATATCTGAAGGATGTTTCTAATGATCTGAACTCTTCAACAATGTGTCTGTATTAAAACAACAGGTGGACAGAAAAGTCTTACCTTGGACACAGCTGCTCTGACTGCCTGTCTGCAGTCCACTTCTGCTTCTGGACCTTTGTTCTGATGAAGAACTGGAAGAACAGGAAGTGTTGATCAGATCAGTTTTAACATCTCTGGCTGCTGCTTCACTCTGACTCCAGGATGAGGAGAAAACTGCTGTTAAATACATTTTGCAGCTTTTCACTTCCTCTCTTAAAAACAAGCTCCATTTTTTCCATCCTTTTTATTTATTTATTTATTTTCCCTCGCTTCACCCTTCAGAGGAGTCAGACGTGCTTTTGCTCTCCTGAGCCTGCCTCCCCACATCCGGAACAAAACGGGATTATGGATTTGGCCAACCGGTCTCTGAACACAATTGACACTATTTTTTCCACATTAAGACTGGAACAAGGGGAACAAAGCTGTCTGAGTGGAACGGTTGCAGTGGAACACATCAGTGGTTCTTGTGGGAGCTGGAACCTGATGTGTCTCGCACCACTTTCCATTGAAGACGTGGAAGATTTGTATCTGTTTTGGATTTATGATAACTGGATTTCTTCTGATCGGCAGAGGCGGATATTTGGTCTATCGAAAAGGGAAAGCGACCATGACACTGGTCCAGGCCGTTCAGAAGCTGTTTGGCACACTGGAAGGTTCCCAGCAGCATGGCCTTGACTACCATGCTTATCTGAAACTTCCCAAAGATGATATGTCAACAAGAGCTTGATTCCCTCCCACCGCCATCACCCGTGTTGGACCTGGCCGTGAACCCAAGGCCAAGGAGGGGGCGACTTTGAACTCTGGCGAGCCGAACAAGAGACGATAACATCATGTGACTCTGGACTCTGGCGGGGGCTACGGTCAGGTCCTAGCACAGACACCCACCCTCAGCGTCACCGACTCCACTGAACCCTGCCCCATCTCATGCGTTATCTGACCTAAGCTCCCTCCCCTGCCTCAGGCTATTTTACTCTATCCCAAGTCATTTTTTGTGCATTTGATCTTATGTTTCTGATGTAAACATAGGATCAGAGCAATTTTTTAAACTCATCTCTTCTAATGTGTATTTCCAGCTGTTAAAGGTAGTGTGACCCCTGCTGGTTGCCACATGGCCTGTTCACCTGAACCCCATGTTTTGTCATGTGTGTCTTCTTAAATGGGTGGTCTTAAATGTAATTTCATTGTGCTCCGTACAATGAAAATAAAGGCATCATCATCATCATTTATTAAAGATCTTATTGTTCCATACTTTCCTAACAGAGCACTTCGCTCTCAGACTGCAGGTTTACTTGTGGTTCCTGGAGTTTCTAAAAGTAGAATGGGAGGCAGAGCTTTCAGTTATCGAGCGCCTCACTTGTAAGTAAGTAATTAAGTAAGTAATTAAGTAAAGTTTTATTTTAAAGCACCTTTCACAGAAATAGATTCACAAGGTGCTGTACAATCATCAAAAATATTAACAGTGTAGACAGTAATAAAACATCAATGATATGTCCCAGCTCAGGAGACTGGGCACAGGGCAAAACAACAGGTAGTGATAATTAGGGGAGGACTGTGATAGGTCTGAATATGAATACCAAACAGTGAATCAAAGAGATGGGATTGTTCCAGGTTAAATAAGGTTGAGACTTTTACAGGTTTTCAGAATTACAAAAAAAAAAATGGATTCACTAATTCACTGTAGACTCAGGCTGCAGGTAGCAGTAAATGTCTAGCTGAAGGCTGGGGGAAAAATGGGTTTTTAGTTTTTTCTTGAAGGAATCAATGTTATCGAGGGAGCGTAGATGAAAGGGGAGGGTATTCCAAAGTCTTGGGGCCTTGGAAGAGAAAGTACAGTCACCATGAACCTTGTGGAACCAACTTCCAGTTTCTGTTCATGAGTCTGACATGGTTTACTTTTAAGACTAGACGAAGACTTTCCTTTTTGATCAATTCTATAGTTATGCTTAGGTTTCCTGACTTATTCCTTGGTTCTGCTGATAATCGTGTTTTATTTTTTAGATTCAGTTCTTTCTACGTGCTGATTCTTGTGTTTTAAAATACTTTCTGTGGATTTCTTTGGTGCTGATCTGACACAAACAGAAACTGAAACTTAAAACAGAGCTGCATTTTACTGATGATGTCATACTCTGAGAACCAATCRGCATCCAGCAGAAAGTTGTTCCACAAATCAGAGCTCAGCAGCTGCACACTCTTTCCATGAGCTCAGGTCTTGGTGGAGGTGTGACCTCACTGAGTACTTCTACTTGTTTAGTTAGTTGTATTTTGTATCTGTTTGCTGTCAGATGCTTGTTTTTGTAAATAAAGTTTCTACTTTCAGTTCACTCAGTGCTCCTGGTTTAGTCTGGATTCTTGGATCCTGTTTTACCTCCATGACACGTTTGATTCTTTCTTCAGTGAATCAGAATCTTTAACTCATAAAAGGACTCTATGGTGAGGGTCAGCCTGAGCTGAGCTGAACTTCTAAAATAACATTTATCTTTTTTATCTTTATGTTCTACAGAAATATTATTTAGTAAAATTCACTAAAATGACCTCTGTTGTGAGTTAGTGCTTTATAGAGAAACTGAACTGGAGTAAAAATGTTGTAAAAAATATTAAAAAGACTAAAATCAACCACAGTCCAAGTCTCTGCTCTGTTTCATGGATTTAAATCAAAAACAGTTTTCTTACTTTGTGTCTGAGGGTCCCGGTTCAGAACTGAAGTCTGGATTTTCATCTTTGGACAGACAGCTGGGTTCTGGAGGTTCTGCTCTCTGTCTGAAGTTCTGACCTCTGAAACACAAACATCTTGTTCTTCAGATCAATCAGTGACAGAAACCCTTTCAGAAGCTCTGAACACACAAACTGCTGCAGAGACTCAGAAAGGTCTGGATCAGTCCTCAGATCAGAGTCCAGCTTCTTGTGTTGAAAAGCAGAGCTGATCCAAARCATCAGAACAGAACCGCTGCTTTAGTTTTATTTCAACATTTTAATGTTTAAAACACAAACAGATGTTTTTGAATTAGAAACAGTTCTCTTACTTTGTGTCAGAAGGTCCAGGTTCTTCATGAAAAGTAGTAGTAGTGAATAGACCACTAGTTCTGTCCTCCTCTTCCTTCAAACCAACTTCCATCTTCTGGTCTTCAGTCGCTCTGAAAGATAAACCAGTCAGTCTGGTTCAGTTTGATCAGAAGCAAACAGGAAACAGTTTGTTTTTCTGGAATGAGGAAGATCAGGTTTTGTCTCCAGTCTCTGAAAGAGACAGTTTGTTCTCRGAGAAAAATCCAGACTGAAAGTTGAAAATAAAATTAATGCAAAGCATCATGGGTCAAAGAAAAAAGTGGATAAAAACAAAAGCACATTAATCAGATATGAAGGAAGGGTCACCCCGAGGTCGAATAAACATTTCCACTTGTCTTTGGCCCTGATCTAAAAAGACTGTTCTTAAAAGAGACATTTTATTTTCTTTAATAAACAAAATCAAAATGTTCTTTATATTTTTGATTTATACTTCCTTTTAACTACAAGTTATTATCATTTTATAAATCAAAGGTACATAATGAAAAGAGTGACAATTAATCATTTACATTATAACTAAGAAAAAGAAAAACAAAACAAAAGAGTGTTGTTTCAATGTTTCTTTACTTGTCTAACACAAATCTTTGTTTATTCAACTGTTGTTTTTACAGTTAAAATATTATGTGTTTTTCTTTTTCAATTTAACTAAACTGATCAGTAT